AAAGTTAAGTGAACTATTGTAATTATATGTTTAGTGGTAATCAAATCTCCAAGTTCGTTATTTTCTAACCATATAATGTAGTTTGACGGGATTTAAAAAATTAAATATTTTTCTTAGCTGTTTTGATAATTTTCTTGTAGTCACCAACGCCTCAATCCACAGTTTTACTTCTAATTTCATTCCAAAACTGCAAATATTCCTAAATTTAACACGTATCTTGAAATCCTACCAGATGTAATTCCACATGACGCTATTAAAGACAATGTCACATCATTTAAGGACAACAAGAAGACTTGGATTTATATTCCAAGTATTTTAATGTCAATCTTTCTGCAAATCGCCTGAGGCGAAACAAATTTAATTTATCTGCATCTGGTCAGTACGATAGTTAGTCCCATTAAAGAATGATAAGCTGTATTGAACAGACGCAAATGAACTAAATTATTCATTGCGCGCAATTTTCTTCACAGTTCTTGAATTTACAGTTACTGAAGTCACTTTGCAAGTATTACTTTATTAAGCTGTGTGTTCTTTGCAACTTTTCATCTATGATAACCTGACAGGAATGGTAATACAATAATCAACACCGAATTTTCATCAACATTCTTATTTTTGACAAAGAAAACGGAGAAAAGAGGTGTGGAAGAGGGAGCATAAGTCCTGATGATCTCGGGAATATCAGGTGATCACCGAATCACTAACATTTTAATTATTTACAGCAGGATGTCATTTAACCATATTTAATATCCTATGAATTATGCATCAATTTAACAAACTTGTTTTTTTTATAGGCTATGAAAAATATTGGTCTTATTCAATAACTGACAAACTATTACTGCTTGTCCGTTTTATGACACGCATTGAATTTTACTATATTGTCAGATCGAAATATTTTACTTTTTACATGATTTAAAACTAGTTCCTTGAAATGGCGGGATCAAAATACTTGCAAAAGATTATATGCGCAATATTTTACATCGCTGTTCTTGCTTTCATGTTACTAACTTTAATATTTCTCAGTACTCGAAAATAGTATAAAAATGCAATGCTTCAAATGCTCGATCTAGTGAGATTAAAATTTTTAAAAGCAAGTCTGGATTTTCATCTACAAGGATTTTAAAAATCAGAATACATGCAAGTCGTCGATTTTAGTGTACGTGAAATTAGGAAATTTTGTCAAGTTGGATAATTTAACGAATACGTAATCTAATGAGAGATGACGAAAAACATGATTGAGACTAATGTCATATTCCATTATTTTCCAGTGAAATCAAGAAATGCAAAAATTAAAAACATACTAAAAAGGGAAAACCATACTTATTGCGAACTAAATGAAAGTGGCTTTTGCATGATTTATTGAGACTACTCATTATCTATGACAAAAGCTGACCAAGAATGTTGAGAAAATGACAATGCAGATAAATCATAAAGACACCATTGTACTACCAAAAGATGACTAGCTTTCAGTTATATATTTGTATGAAAAATGCAAATTTTCATGGAAGGGCAATACTTCGGGATGATATAGTCAATATCCGCTCCTCCCTCCTCTTCCGTCGAGCTTATTCAAATCAATTTAATAATTGTCGTCATTGAAGAGGTGTCAACTATTTTTTCCATCAATAATGATATTAATGGCACAAAATTACTTTCAATCATGTTTGAAACACGTTTCGGATACATTTACCTCTTTCATTTTAATTTAAGTGTGTGTATGTATGTATGTATGTCCCATTTGTCCCAACAAATCCTCCTTCTATAAAAGATCACACTTTCCAGATTATCACATTGAGCACCTTAACAACAATATGTTTATCATACGGACCATCGGTATAACTACTATTGTTGCTTCGGTTGGAACTACTATGATAGCATTCTTCTATATTCCGCTAATTATTACAAAAATAATCGAAATCAATGAGAGGGTAATTTTATTCTTACGTCGTAAAATCTTCCTCATTCTGAAGAAAGTCTGATTACAAAGCTTCAAAAGTTATGAAATAAGTAAGATCACAACTGTTCATTTTCAAAAAAAAAAAAATTATCGCGAAAGATTCTGTATCTTAAAGAATGGATTACTGACTTGATTAAAAAACCCAATGTGCAAATGATTATTTGAATTTCTTTCATCTACCTCAGGAATTAAAAACAACAGAGAATACTTGCAGCTGAAGTTTGACTCCGATGAATTCCGTATAATTGCGAATGAAGCTTGGAAACAGCTGGTTAATGCTCGAGGATTAAACAGAGGAAAAAGACAGGTGATTCATTTCCATCTATTAGTGAGCCTTGTTTTTTGAACCCATATTATATTTCTCAACAATCTTGGCAAGAAGACGAAGTTTTTTATTACTGCAATGATTGCTATTCGTTCGGTACTCCACCCGATGGCCTGAATTCATTGTAAATTGAAATTTAATCTCATGAGTATTTCTTTTGTCTGCCATCTTTACATAAAACATAATTGCAGTATAATTCGGAACAAAAAGTTTCACTTGACAACGAATATTCCAAAAAACCGGAGGCTCATGTGCAACAATCAATTTGTGGTACATTACTTTTATGTATAATTATACAGCTCTCGTTTTTCAAATTTCATTTAAGATTTGTATTGATTCAATGGAGTATAAAAATTTAGTAAACATTCACAAAGGTTATTATTTCCTTCAGCTCTCATATCTGATTTAACTTTCAGAGTGTCAAACATCAAACGTCTGTCCTCCAGGACCACCAGGATTGCCAGGAAAACCTGTTAGTTTATCCAAATTATTGGAGAGAAAAAGTATTGAAAATAAATCACTTCTTTTTGGTGATTTTTAAAAAGTTTTGTTTTTCGGTCCAAATCAAGTATGCTGCATTAGAATCACTAGTCTTACATTTAAATCTTTTATCATAAAAGGTCACATGAAATTTACAGGGTGAAGATGGGATACCTGGTGAAGCAGGAACACCTGGAACTCCAGGACTGCCAGGAAACGCTATTCCAGTCACCAACGATTATGTAATTTTTTATTAATACATAATATCCGCGAAAATGTTCTTAATTTATTAATCAGAATTTTTAAATCAAATTGGTCACAATATTATTTGCAGTTCATGGATATGTTACGGAAAGTTTTTCTGATTGTAGACCAGCAACTGTCGAGTATGTTCCCAGGGTCCGCGAGGTCCTCCTGGTCCACCGGGAGAAGAAGGCACTCCGGGGAAAGTTGGATTACAGGGACCACCTGGACGTAATGGTGAACCAGGAAGAACTGGTTACGCAGGTAGGACATGTCTCTCTTCAATTTTGCGCTAGAAATTTTAAATGAAAAAAATGTGGGATTGAGTTGCAGGTGCCCCCGGAATAAATGGTGAAATAGGTACACCTGGCAAATCTGGTGAGCCAGGATATGCTGGATTGAATGGAACGCGTGGTCAAAAAGGTCTACCTGGGAAGAAAGGTGAACCAGGTTCGGGAGGACCAAACGGTCCCAAAGGATATCCTGGGCCTCCAGGACAAAGAGGAAAAGATGGTCTGTTATTTATAATATTTAAAAAAAAACGAAATCAGACATGAAATCCACATATTATATGCTAAATATTAAATAAATATTTAGGTGAAGCAGGACCACAAGGTCCAGTAGGTACACGGGGTCTTCCTGGGCAAAAGGGACCAATAGGTGCAGAAGGTCGTCCAGGTATGCCGGGTCAAGACGCAGGATATTGCTCATGTCCATCTCGCACTGCAGGGAGCGAAAAACCATCGTATGGACAAGGTTCACAAGCAACCAACATTCAAAGCCAAATACGTTCATCGTATGCCGAACCACCCAGCTATGTCTCAGGTGGCGATGTTAGCGGTGATGGTGCTGACTATAAGAAAAGCAAAAAAACTTGAAAAATTGCTTAAGTGTCAGTGCCATCATGCTGTAATAAATTTGTTCTTCGCAATATTTTATATTCTAAACACAACGCATATTCATGAAATCATGAGAAGAGCAAAGAAGTCGTAAGAGAAATAATAATGAATAGGTATTTTGGAATCCGAGACACATTTTGTACTCACTTTCACAGGCATGACAGAATGACAGACGAAATTAGTTCCTAAATAATTTGAACCAAGAAAAGATATATGGTATTTCTACGGAACTTGTAATTTTCAAATGTCTCAGTATGTTTAATTCCATATCTTACTTCGATTATTCACAGGAAGGCATTTATTAACCAAATAAATCATAACCAGATGGGATAGAAAAAAATCGCTCCTGAGACTTTTGAGTTCACCGGATCAGGTATTCAACGTAATCTTTATTGTTTACGACGCACTCAGCCCAAGATCCATTTTATCCAAGCAAATCCAATCGCATAATATAGCTCATCCCTCAAAAGCATATCTTAAATTTCATTTTTGCCGCATAGGGACCTCCGGTATATCACGGGTGGCCGTTGTTTATAAAAGATTTCTAAGTGGTGTGCGTGTTTGGTCGCCGACAGAAACGGAGTTGGATGGATCTCGTGGATTTTCGTATACACTTAATTATGCATAGCAGTGGTTGAAATTAGATACGTAGTCAGTTTGCTAAGCAGAGAGTGGAAGCTGATTACCTGGTGACGATGCAAGTTTGCACTCTTTTACATGCCTGCTGTATAGCTTCAGTTATATTTGAACGGTAACTAGATGTTATTAATTGAGGATACGTAGTATAAATGGATATTAAGAAGACACGAAAAGGTTTTTCCGCGCGACCTTTTTAAGTTACCGAGATTACTGTTATCCCGTAATTGACAACATGTTTTAGTATACCCTCAATTACGATAAGTGAGGTTTTGCTGTGTTGTATTCTCGCAGTGCCATTACGTTGCTGCAGGCATAAACCGACGCATACTCTTTGTTACAGACAGTTTCTCCTACAATGAATCCTTGTTCTGGACAGCTGATCTCCAGTTGAAGTGTTTGTACAGGATGTAGATAGGTGCGTGCTTTCCATTTTTACAACTTATATTACTCTCGTAATGATATGTTATTGACTCTGTATCTTCATTTCAAAAGAAATGCATAATTAATTCAGGTGTCGAATAGTATAACGAATGAAACGAAAATTGATACTTTAATTGGTACTCTCACTAACCTCCCACTGCTAGTTTTTTATGATTTTTAGGGTCTGAAGTTATCATCGTTTGATGACATTGTATTTGCTGTTGTGGGTTATTACTTTTTTAATCGTTTTTTTTTTCCAGATGTGATGTCATCAAACTTCAGTCCGATTTCCCCTCTGGGGTTGGCAACAAAACATGCGAATGCAGTTACAGGTGCTGATATGAACACTCTGGTTCTTCCACAGTTTCGTTGTAGCTCAGGTGGTCAAAATCGTTCGCAACTGTCAAGCACTAGTACACAATTGTCTAGTCCGAACAGCCAAGTCAAGTCTCAACTACAACAAGTTGCGCAGTCCACACAACGTCCAACAAGTTCTGATGCATGCGCTACAATCACACAGTATCTGATGATGTATCATACGGTAACTGTATTATTGTAGGTTGCGGTGGACTTTCAAGTTCTATCATTTGAGAAATATTTATTTTTGCATCCTTGAGTATTTTTACTTTTTGGAGCATATGAGAAAAAGTCATTTCTTTTTCCATATTCGAATTTGGTAATGTATAAATATTTGTATTTCGGAAAAATCAGATTTGCCCGATTATATTTAAGCTGTTCACGAAACTAAGCACAGAATGCACGAAGTTCAGCACTTCATAAGGACACTTCACAATCAGTGATAGTATGTGTATGTGTATTTGTGTGTTTGTACTTTTTTTAGGGGCGAGATGAGGAATTCAGTCGCAAAGCTATTGAAAGTCTGATTAAGAAACTGAAAGATAAACGTGATGAACTAGATGCGCTGATTACCACTGTAACATCACATGGGAAGATTTCTCCGAAATGTATCACGATTCAGCGTACTTTGGATGGACGATTACAGGTAACAAATATGAATTTTGAATTCTTTCACCTTATTTGGTTTGGTTTCACAAAGCAATTGGACATGTTGGAGATCTATCTCTTTTTGTTTTAGTGAGTTGCACATTTTCGCTAATTCGTTCATCTCTGTTAACGGTGGTTCTTTCCCTTTTTTAATGTTTTAATTGTTAGAATCTGACAAAAAGTAATTAAATATAAGTCTCTTGTATTACATTTATTACGGATTTGTCTTGTTTTTGTTTTAATTATGTAGCTGAGTCTTAAAATTTATTTAATCAGCAAGATAATGAACATAACTAATTCTAACTTTCTTATTTTCTACAGGTGGCTGGAAGAAAAGGTTTTCCGCACGTCGTTTATGCACGTATTTGGAGATGGCCTGATTTACATAAAAATGAGCTGAAACATTTGCCGCTTTGTCAGTGTGCATTTGATTTGAAATGTGACCTGGTAAGGTTTTAGTACATTTTGTGTAATTGTAGCATCTAAGAATGAATTTTTACTTCTTTAGAATTATTTTCCTTTTCAAATGTTATTCATGAGACCGTGTTGCAGGTTTGCGTTAATCCCTACCACTATGAACGTGTTGTTCCGCCAGGTATCGGCACCATTGATTTGTCGAATTTAAAAATTGAGCATCGATCCTCATCTCAAGACGATTCAAACACATTGTCTCCAGGAAGTACAGGAACTAGCGATGATTTGTCAAAGTAATTTTTTTGAATTTATAATAATCTGTGGGCAGATTTTTCTGTTGATGTCACTGATTTAAATTATATA